AGGTGGTGGAATCTCCTTCCTTAGAGGTTTTTAAGATCAGACTTGACAAAGCCCTGGCTGGGATGATTTAGTTGGGGATTGGTCCTGCTTTAAGCAGGGGGTTGGACTAGATGACCTCCTGAGGTCCCTACCAACCCTGATATTCTATGAGTGTTTTTCTTTCTCTGCTTACATAATGAGTGATAAGTGCCTGGTTGCCTTTCAAGGCCAGAGCTAGGAACAAGAAATGGATATTGTCCCCTCTTTCTAGCTTACACTTAGGGATGCCAACTTTCTACTCACACAAAACTGAACACCCTTGCCCCACCGCTGTCCTGCCCCTCCTCTAAGGCCCCACCCATGCCCCGCCCCTTCTCTGCAGACCTGCTCCCCGCTCACTCCATCTTCCCCTCCATCTGTTGCTCGTTCTCCCCACCCTCACTCACTCATTTTCACTGGGCTTGCTCGGGGGTTGGGGTGCAGGAGGGGGTGAGGGCTCTGGCTGGGGGTGCAGGTTCTGGGGTGGGGCCAGAAATGAGGGGTTCAGTGGTGGGAGGGGGCTCTGGGCTGGGGCAGTGGGTTGGTGTGTGTATGTGGGGGGGTGAGGGCGCAAGCTGGGGGTGCAGGCTCTGATGTGGGGATGAGGGATTTGGGGTGCAGGAGGGGGCTCTGGGCTGGGGATGAGGGGTTGGGGTGCAGGGGGAGTGAGGTCTCTGGCTGGGGATGAAAGGTTTGAGGTGTAGGAGGGTGCTCTGGGCTGGGATTGAGGGTGGGAGGGGGACAGGGCTGGGGATGGAGTAGAGGGTTGGGGCTCGGGAGGTGGGGTGCTTACCTCAAGCAGCTCCCAGAAGCAGCAGCATGTCCCTTCTCCAGATCCTACGTGGAGGCACAGCCAGGTGGCTCTGCATGCTGTCCTGTCCGCAGGTACCTCCCCCGCAGCTCCCATTGGCCTCAGTAACCATCACGCAGGCCATGACATTGGATCATAAACTCTTTGAGATGGCTAGAACTTCCAGGGTAAAATCCTGACCCTGCTGAAGTCGATGGGGATTTGGTGTGAGTGTTCTATATTTCTGACATAGCAGTATAACTGTTACAACTTCCAGTAATTAGGTTCTCTATTATCAGTTCTAGTCAGTGTATAATATTGTGCCTAATTCTAAAATGACTTTTTGACTCTGCAAATGGAGCTCCCACCACTCTCAGATGTATGTAAAAATCACTAAGGCCTGGACTGCAGTAGGAGATTAGGTTGGTATAAATACGTCACTCAGGGGTGTGAAAAATCCACATCCCTGAGCAATGCAGTTAAACTGACCTAACCCCCACTGTAGACTCTAGATCAACAGGAACATTCTCCCATTGACCTAGCTACTGCCTCCTGGGGAGTTGGATCAATGACCGATGTCAATAGGAGAACCCTTCCCATCGGCGTAGGTAGTGTCTTCACTGAAGTGCTTCAGAAACAGTGCAGCTGCTGCAATTTAAGAATAGACAAGACCTACTGCATGGCCTGTTGTACCTCATTGCCTAGTCAGACTGATCACGATAGACAAGGGCAAATAATCATTAATTATTAGGGTGACCAGTCAGCAAGTATGAAAAATTGGGACAGAGGGTAGGGGGTAATAGGAGCCTATTTAAGAAAAAGACCCAAAAATCAGGACTGTCCCTATAAAATCAGGACATCTGGCTATGATCTATGCTAGCTAGAACGTCTTTAACCAGATAGCACTTTGCCTACTCAAAATCGCTCCTTTAACTACCGCTGCCAGGTGTCTCAGCAACAATTTTAATGAGAAGTCCAGTCAAATTATCGAAACATGTAGACATACCTGGCACATCTCTGGCTGTGTTAGATTAGCACATTTCTTGCCTGCTTTGTCTGACCACATTGAAAAGGAAGTCCAACAGCATTCCAGAAAAAAAAAAAAAATAAGCCAACCTGTTTTCTGTTTGAATCGAAGGGCAGTCAGCTGTGACCTTCTCTCCTTCCTCAGAATAAAGCAACTAATGTAAGTAACAGATTGTCTTAAAAGCTGCTGCTCCCTGAGCCTTGATAATTGCATTCAGTGTGCTGCAAGGCTCATCACCAGGCAGCATTTAGCACACCACTTATTTGATCTAGTTATTGAGTCTCAGTACAGGTGTTCCAGGCTGTTCATTGAACGGTCACAGCACTGAGAGGAAAATGCATTAATTGTAAATTTGGAAAAGGTTAGTTAAATCTTTTCTGGGGATACTACACTGTCATGAAATAGCACAGGAGGAACAATAATGGATAATAATGGCCTTCAGAGAAATTAAATTGAAGTTTTGTACCAGCACTTAGCATTTATACAGTGTTCCACATTCTAAGCGCTTTAAAAATGTGAACTAATTAATCCTCACAACACCCTGATAAGGTAGATAAGTACATATTAGTATTTTCATTGTACAGAATGGAAAATTGAAGCAGAAAAACAAACTTTTGGGGCAGGAACTCTCTCTCTCTGTACAGCACCTAGCACACCAAGGTCCTGATTTGTGCCACTGGGCCCTGCCCCAAAATAACTGACTTGTGCAAGACCTCAGAGCTGGGATCAGAATTCAGGAGTTCCTGGCTCCTCCACTTGTGCTCAGACCACACCTCTGTCTCATTTTAGGTGTGAATCTCTAGAATGATCTTTGGGATAGAAATCTTTCTTATACCCATGTTACGTTGCTAGAATGATATGAGATCAAATCTTGCTGTCCTAAGTCCTGAGTAAGAGCTGCAGGATTTGATCCATAGTGTAGATAACTGGAGCTAGTCAGTAGCCATTACTTGCAGAAGGGTACTGTGGATTTTAATATGATGTAGTTTGTTAAAGCACAACTATAGACAAATCAGAATTTTCTAATACCATTTTATAATCTTCTCATGTCCTTTTGCTTGTGTAGAAATGACACCAAAGGAAAAATTAATGAGAAAATGTAAAATATCTTTTACAGGACCAATTTCCTTTGGTGAGAGAGACAAGCTTTCGAGCAACACAGGGCTCTTCTTCAGGTCTGTGAAACTATGGCTATGTTTACACAGCACACCTTACAACGGCGCGGCTAGCTTCGTTGACAGGCGCACGGCTCCCACCAACAAAGCGCTGTCCACGCTGGCACTTTTCATTGCTAAAACTTTTGTCATTCAGGGGTGTGTTTTTTCATATCCCTGAGGGACAAAAGTGCTAGTGTAGACCTAGCTTTTGGCCAGGTCGACATTATGAGGTCTCCTGTGTAGCCACTTTTTGATGGAGGGAGAAAGAGAGCTCTCCTGTGGACGTAATTAAACCACCCCCAACAAGTGGTAGTCACTATGTCAGTGTGAGAGCCTCTCCTGCCACCATAGCACTGTCCACACCAGCATTTTTGTTGGTAATACTTATGTCGGTAAGGGGTGTTCTTTTTCTCACACCTGACTGACAAAATGCTATTGTAGAGAAAGCCAGACTCTCAGTACCACAGCTAAATATAAGGTGGCTATATAATATAAGTAGCTAACATATATTTCAATGGACCATTCAAGATGAAGTGGCCCATTAACACCCCTCCAGTCATGGGGGGAGGGGGGAAGACACAAGAAAAGGGGGGGGGGGAGAAGGTAGCTGTGTGGAGGGGTTGTTAGTGGGTATATAGTGTTGTAATAAGTCATAAATCCTTGAAACATGTGTTGTGAATATTGCCAAGCACAGCTGCTCAGACCAGTTAAATAGTCTTCCTTCTATTTTCAAGCACTGGTGAGTAGAACAGAAGCCCTGCCTGGACAACAAACATTGAAGTAGTTTCTTCCTAGTCCATTCTTGGCTTCACAGCTTTCCACTAAATAAAAAAATAAATAAATGTAGCATCTTCAATAGTGAAACAATCGCATCCATACACAGCATAGAGCTGGTCATCATCCGTAAAAATGTGGCTTGTGGGTTTATTAGATTATCTAAGATGTCAGAGCTTCCACTGAAAATAGTTTAAAACCATACAACAAAAGTACTAAAAGGCTCATTTAATGTCTGCAGTTTGTCCATGGTTTGAGCACAGCCTTATTCAGAGAACCTTCTCAAGTGGATTTATGAGGGATTATGCCTCTCACTCATTTTTTGTTCGATAATGAATATTTTTAAAATTCCCCAGGTAAGACATCTTGGATGAAATTCTAGCCCCTTGAAGTAAATGAGAAAGTTTTGCCATTAACTTAAATAGGGCCAGGATTTCATCCTTTGTTTCAAAACATTAAACTGCCTCCTGCAAGCACCAGACAGTGCATGGGGCCAGACTGGCCAGGATGCTGAAAGCTTAAAGGCCTCTTACCACCCAGGCCAGGATTTTTGTTTGATTTGAAGGACCAGTGACAGGTTTAAGGTCCGATGTCTCATGCGTCATGGTGGCTAGAAACTAATCCTGCACATCACTGGAAAGCTTTCCAGTGATTTATAGCATTTTTTTCTCTTTATCTTTGCTTCAAGATATCAGACCCTGAAGTCATGTAATTCTGATTCCCATCTTGTCTTCTCCTCCACCTTTTAAATTCCAGTCTGATTTTAATAGTTGCACCTCAAGAACTGATAGTTAGAAGTAATGCTGTTCTCCATCTGAAAACTTGTCATTGTAGCAGGGCAGAAAGCATGTATCTGTACTTTTAGGGGCAAGTGACATAGCAGTTGCTAAAATCATGCTGGTGAAGTGGAGGCACAAGAAGAAAGCAAAACAGTAAGCAGCAGCCAGAACCTGCACTTATAGTAGAAAGGGGCAACAAGGGTAGATTTGATCCTAATCTAGACAGAAGGCATGTCTGTTGATGGTTTATGCTTGAAGCATAGCATGCTGGCTCTTGACACAGGGGCCCCCCCCGCATTGCTGGAAACCTTAGACTCCTAGGGTCAAACTTCATTAGCCACTAAATATACTTAGATTGGTCATTAACTCCCACTGAAATCAGCTGGAGTCTTTCCTTTGACTTCAGTGGGAATGGTATCACATTCTAGAAAGTAAAACACAGCTTTCAACTGATGTGCATTTTGAAATATATTTTAAGAAATTTGCCCCAAAGTTGATTAAAATACATTCATGAATTAGAGTAACTTCCTTTGTTTAACACAGATATTAAACATTCACAGTCAAGGAACACCTGTGTATTTCATAACTAAAGCAGGCATATGAAAGATGTTTTCAATGATGCACCCCTTTCCTCTCACTCTATTGCACATAACAAATTAAGCTTCCACAACAAGTAAATACAGAAAAACTTGCTACACTGAATCCAATAGTAAATATCCCACTGTTAATAGATCCATAATGCAGAAGCCTTTTCTCATATCTTTATCTAGTGGTTATATTTGGGGAATAAGATTCATTTTTAGAGTTAAAATGAATCTCTGTTTGCAACACAGATTCCATTCTTCACCTCTGAAAAAATAGCTTTTTCAGTAAAATAGCTGGTTTCACACAAAAACAATGAGGAGTCTGGTGGAAAGACTAACAGATTTATTTGGGCATAAGCTTTTGTGGGTAAAAACCCCACTTCTTCAGATGCATGTTTCACACAATCATGAGAAACCCTACTGCTAAAGGGGTCTGGCTTTGCATATGGGAATATGCAAATTAAGGGTTCTGAAATGCAAAAAGCAGCTAAGCAGGCACTGGGCTTCAAAAACCCTTTTCAGAGTAACAGCCATGTTAGTCTGTATTCACAAAAAGAAAAGGAGTACTTGTGGCACCTTAGAGACTAACCAAATTTATTTGAGCATAAGCTTCGTGAGCTACAGCTCACTTCAGATGTGATGAAGTGAGCTGCAGCTCACGAAAGCTTATGCTCAAATAAATTGGTTAGTCTAAGGTGCCACAAGTACTCCTTTTCTTTTTGCAAAAACCCTTTTGTTACACATGGACTCCTCTGCCCTGCTCTTGCAGCCAAACTGCCCCTGAGTGACATCACTGAAGAGAGGGTAAAGTCAAACATATGCTGGAAAAGGACCCGGCTGGAGACTCAGCAAACCCTTGTTTGCTGTTTACAAGACAACTGGCTTGAAGGGTTTTTTTTTTTTTTTTTTTTTGGAAGTTTTGACAAAGCCCTGGCTGGGATGATTTAGTTGGGGATTGGTCCTGCTTTGAGCAAGGGGTTGGACTAGATGACCTCCTGAGGTCCTTTCCAACCAAGAGATTCTATGATTCTAAGGGTGGGAAAGGAAGTGTGGGCAGAGTCTCTGAGGGCTGCTGAATTTCAGAAGCAATCTTTTATGAGCTCAGTGAATCCTTATGGTGATCTCTGTAGTGGAGAGTTTCTTTCAGTGTTCCCCAGTCTGTTTAGGACAGTGGTTCTTAATCTCTTGTACTGGTGACCCCTTTCATATAGCTAGCCTCTGAGTGCTACCCCCACCTTATAAATTAAAAGCACTTTTTTATATCTTTAAACACCATTATAAATGCTGGATGCAAAGCGAGGTTTGGGGTGGAGGCTGACAGCTCCCAACCCCCCATGTAATAACTTTGCAACCCCGAGGGGTTCCGACCCCCAGTTTGAGAACCCCTGATATAGGATATGCTAAGTAGGGAAGGTGATGGATCTTTAGAGGGGTTGCTGGAGAAGAGGGGGTTTCCTCCTATTTCCTGCTTGCTGCTCAGTGCTGTCTGGAAAACAGGTTCCTGAAGGCATTGTTGTAGTTTTTGTTGAAAGCTGTATAGATCAATGGATTAAAAAAGGAATTAGAATAGCCGAGCCATAGAAAAATACTTTTCCAAATTGGTGGGATGTCACAGGAGCAGAGAGGGTTGATGAGTTCAGTGATGAAGAAGGGGATCCAGCATAGTACAAAGACCCCAATAAGGATGCCCACCATGAGGACAGCTTTCTTCTCCTTTTGCTCTCTCCACGTATCTCCATCGGTCTGGAAGGTAACAGTGGCGTGACGGACCGTGAAGACCATTTGGGATTGTTGGGAGGCCTCCTTCACCTGCCAGATGTGAGCACAAGCATCAACGTATGCACCCTGCCTGCTGCCCATCATCACACCAGGCATATTGCATGTGTCAGCAAACCTACAGAACAGCTGTAGTTATATGAATGTGATTGGGCACACTGAAGTAGTTTGGGTCAGCAGTGCAACTTTATCATATTTAAGAGATGTGAGGTATATGTCCCTGTTTTGGGTAATAGGGAGTTTTAAATAACTGAGATTAGAAAAATAGCAGTGATAGTGGAAACTGCATATGCACAATTACTCCACCTATCACAATTCAACTATGTATATGTCACACATTTAGTACAATCAGAACAGTAAATCTCTCTCACACACACACAACCCTGCCTGCTTCTTCTGACTATGCTACTCTCTCTGAGGGGCATACGATGGGGGAAGGATAAAAATGCACTCGGAGAGCATACAACATACATTATTGCCAAAAACAGTCATATAGCTCATTAATACATCAGCTAGTCATGAGTTCAAAGCATCCAGCCACCATTAGGAAACAATTGCAAGGTAGTGTAGGTGTCTGCATAGACACACGTTTTCCCTTAGACTTTGTCAGGTTATTTTCCATATTCTGGGTGGCTACCTACAGACCCTCCACCCCCAACTCCTAAGGGGCAGAGTCACCTGTGAAACCCTTAGTCATACAAGTGAGCACTGACCCACAGGATTTCAAGGATTTCAGTGAGTCACTGCTCACCAGCCTGAATCAGAGGTTCTCAGTCAGACTCAAAAGTTCCCGCACAACGTTTCCACTAGCACTCAGTGACTGCACACTTGGCCTGCAAGTCTCCCTTCTAGACCTGACAGTACTCCACAGTCCTGGGGCAAGTTTCCCTCCCTGCAGGGCTGGGCCATAGACATCATCCCAGCTGCCACTCAGCCCAGGCCAGCTGGCAAACCCCAGGCTCGACCCACCTCTAGCCCTTCGGGGGCGATGGGGGTGATGGAGTTGCTCTTCCGGGATCCGATGCGAAACTTGGCCGCCTTGTAGATCTTCCAGTAGACGAAGAGGACGACGCAGAGCGGCAGGTAGAAGGCGCCGAAGGTGGAGAAGACGGTGTAGGAAGGCTCCTTGCTGACCTGGCACTCCTGGCTGCCCTCGGAGTAGGTCTCGCCCCAGCCGAAGAGCAGCGGGGCCAGGGCGATGACGGCGGAGAGGGCCCAGGTGAGGGCGATCATGGCGTTGGAGATGCAGCGGCGGGCACGCAGGGTGTACTCCAGGTGGCGGCTGAGGGACCAGTAGCGGTCCAGGGCGATGGCCGTCACGTTCCAGATGCTGGCCGTGCAGCACAGCACGTCGAAGGCGATCCACACCTGGCACAGCCGCCGGCCCAGCCGCCAGCGCCGCCCGGCCAGCTCGTGCACCAGGCTGAGGGGCATGACCAGGGCCGCCACCATCACGTCGGAGGCGGCCAGGGAGGCCACCAGGTTGTGGGGCACGCGGTGGAAGGCGCGCACCCGCAGGATGGTGGCCAGCACCAGCACGTTCCACAGGAAGGTGGCGGCGGCCAGCAGCGCCAGCAGGGTGAGCAGCAGCACGCCGAACACCGACAGCGGGGCGCGGCCGGCCAGGGCCGCCGGGGGGCCGCCGCCGCCGCTCCGGTTGGCCGCTGCTGCCCACGGGGTGGCGGAGAGGTTCAGGGGCCCGTCCATGCCGGCCGCCGCCTGGGAAGGGCGCGGCGGAGAGCGGCCGCGGGACTCAGGGCGCGGGCGGCGGCGGCGGGCTGGGCGCCGGCTGCGCCTCCGTGCCCGGCCCGAGGCAAAGTTTGGGGGGAGGCGCGGCCATGGCGCCGGCGGGAGGGAGCGTGCCCGCGGGCTCGGCGCCGGGGACGGGAGAACAGCCCCGGCCCCTCCGCGAGCGAGCCCTGCTGGCCGCCCCGCCTGGGGGAGCCCGCCCCGGGCGCCTGAGCCGCGCTCCCTAGCGTAGCTGCGGCTCCGCGCCCGGCGGTGCAGGGCTGGGAGCGGCGACGAGCGCAAGTCCGAGCCGGCGGCGGGGCTTTGTCAAAGAGGAGAATGACTCCGACGTCAAAACGTGGCCCATCAGCTGACGGCAACCCCCCTTCCCTCCAGTCCTCCCCAGGCGAACGCACCCCTCGCTCTGCGAGAGCCTGCCTGCCTATCTATCTGCCTTCCCCGGCCGGGTGGCGGCCCCTGCCTCCGTCGCTCGCTAGCTGCCAGGTGGAGGAGGAGCCCGCCTGGGTTCGGCACCTGCTGCTTAGCTCAGTGCCCTGCTGCTCTTCGCCCTGAAAGTCTCCAAGAACAGCCCAGGTGTCTTGCAGAGGACTGCACCAGCAGCTGGTAAATGGATTCTCCGAATTCCCTCCTCTGTGCTCAGCTTAGTGCTTCGCTCACTGTCACAACCGATTCATCTCCTGCACCTAATTACCCTGTTCAGCTAGGATGCTGCTCTGCACTTACTCGTATGAATAAACTCATACGAGATTTGGTTTGCGAGAAGAAAGGGGGTTAATTTACAGTGGGGGATCCATCTTCTATTACAAGGGAGGAGGTATCCATAGCTTAGGTTTATAGGCACTTTAACCAAAGCTCTGTTCTACCTGGCAAGGTGCATATGCATGTAACCAACTGGTCAGGTGGGTTACCTGTGCATATAATGAAAATAGAGTATTTCCCGTGGGCTTCAGCAGAGCAGAGGCAGATTAAAGTTGTCTCTGGTCTCAAGTGTGTTGGTAAAAGGAGCTGGAGAATAAGAGCTTTTCAAAATCATGCTTAGTCATTTCAGTTTTTAGATGTTTATCTAGAGATTAGCTATAGTTAAGTCAACTCAGCTTTTCCAGTACTGCTTTTTTGCTAAGTGTTTGGGGCATCCATCATGCAAACATCCCACTTCACTGGTGCTGCTTTTTCATGGACTTTAATTTCCCCTGTTGTGAAATATAATTTTAAAATTGAAAAGAATTACACCTAGATGTTTTAAAAACTCAGGAGTTACTGACAATGTTAATATACTCACACTGAATGTGTCTCACAGTACCGCATGTATCTAACAAGCCATCTAGTATGTGTAAGGGGTCAAGTGACTGTTTCTTTTGGAATCTCACCTTTTGCATATCCTGACTTTTAACTATAATTAACTTTTTATTAAAGCTAAACAGAATACTTCTCTGACTACTACACATTTTTGTATTTACAAAATTTGTACTTACTTTTTTTATTATTATTTCTGTAACATTAGTGATTAGAGGTGCCAAATGGAGTCAGGGCCCCATTGTGCTAGGCACTGTACAGAGACAGAGAGACAGTCAGTACCTTAATCAGCTTAACAAACTAACTGGACAAGACAAACAGGAGGTGGGAGAAAGGAAATAAGTAAATAAATATTAAGGAAGAGTGATAGATACACTTAATGCAGTTCCATTGGATTTAGGGGAAGAAATAAAGATGTAACCGTTCTGTAGAGATGCACAACAGCACAGTACTATAGGCAATAGCATAACTAAAAATCAAATGGGTATTTGGTACTGCACATTTTTAACCTCCATAGAACTTTTTATATTCAAGCTACTCAGTAAGGGCTAGAGACATGTGATGTTTCAAAGTTCAGCCTATTTGCATAGTACTCCTATAGGAGGCATGCGGGGTTTTGCTTCTCAGTGCTGCCAGGTGAAAGAAACCCATCAAGAAAAAGTTGGAGAATGTAGGGTTGTCGGGATGTGGTTTGGAGGGGGCAGAAGGGGAGTTTGGCACTATACTACACTTTTAGAGGCATACCATTACTTTTCCTCTTGTGCACAGGAATAACCACAATGTTTTTGATGGGAAAAGTCTCTCTTTTCCACTCACAACTCAAATATAGCTGAATGGATTTTGCACAGATTTATAAAGCATCCCTTTTGGGGCTGAACCCAATCCCAGAAAGTTCCTGATCCTGCAAGATGCTGAGCCTCCTCAATTACCACTGACCTCAAGGTCTTGAAGGAATCACTTAACACCTATCAGGATCAGGCCTATATTAATTAGTGGGCCTTTCCCAACAAACTGCACAAACACAAAGCTAAACATTATGTGGTATGTGCGCCTAAGACCAAAATACAGGTACTATTGCTTTAGGAAGAAGTAAACAAGAGTAACCATGAGAAAAATTGGAAATGTAACCATGAAAGCTGAAGCATAAATCTAGATGAGGTATGTTCAGTGTGTCCTCTCACTATGCACTAGGATTTTCACTATTGTATTGACTGGACCTCTCACTAAAGGTATTAACAGATTCCTGGGGACTGAATGGATCAGGAAAGAGTTAATTGGAAATAGCTCTTTCATCTGGAAGTCACCTGCTGAATCCATCCTGACAGAAAACTATTACTTTAAAGGACAAAATCCTCCCCGCTTTACTCACGTAGGTAATCCCATTGATCCCACTTCTGGGGTTGGGATTCAGTATGCTTCTCTGCAGAACCTGGGTCTCTTTGCCCTGTTCTTCCAGGGGTTGCTTTTTTATCCTTCGGAAGTCTGTCTCATAAACCTGATCAAACGGGTTCATGCAGGATAGACTTGAAAGCAGTTAATTCTCTGCATCGTCTTCTAAGTACTGGTAAGTGGGGGGCTATAAGAAGTGTTTTTCTGCCTTCCTGCTGAAATTAACTCTTGAGAGGTGTTAAGTATGTGCAACATCTGATGAAGTGAGCTGTAGCTCACGAAAGCTCATGCTCAAATAAATTGGTTAGTCTCTAAGGTGCCACAAGTACTCCTTTTCTTTTTGCGAATACAGACTAACACGGCTGTTCCTCTGAAACAACTCTCATTGATTTCACTGGTGGTAGCACAGTGATGCTCAACCAGTTTGTGATGATCCCATAAGAGGCAATTATGAGATATTTGTCTCACGATCCTTCTGTAAATTTCCTGCAAGATAAGCCAACTAAAGGCTGACCACTGTTGCATACACAAATACACACATCACACCTGAAAGTTGTTGTCCACGTTCCTGTTAAAGTTTCTTTATTAAATAACTTTATTAAAATGAATTATGCTTTTAAGAGTAACTAGTATGATAGAGGTCCATCAACATAAGTATATTCCACCATGTGTCTCTCTTTTAGAATAACAGACACAGAGAGAAATATTAAGAAGAAATTGTATGCAGGAAGATGAAGTTTCTTTAGCTTAATACATGAGCTTTGACTATCAAAGCGTCCAGTACAAACTGTCAAGTATCTGCCAGTAAGACACACTGCACTGATGACAGGAAATGGATGGATCTGTGAAATGCAGTTGTTGTTCCGACCCTTTTTCCTGATGGTAAGTTGTAGAAGAGATTTGTTTCTCACAAGCTTTAGGCATTTTGGTGGCAAACTGGCATTGGTGCTAGTAAATTGGTGAAACTGTGGGAAAGTTTGTGATGTCACTAGACTGCAAATGGACTACTTGGTGTGTGTTCTCCTGAATGTCATTCTGCTTCATCCCAGGCAGCTGATGACCTATATTTATATAAATCCTTTTGGACGGTGGCAATGTTCTGCAGAACACCAGAGAAGAAATTATATAAATTTTAAGACCCTTCTCTTACCAGTCAAGATGTCATCCCGAAGGTCTGATTTCTTTACCCTTTTATGAAGGATGAAGAAAGAAATCATTCTAAATAGTTTTCTGTGTTGGCCTTTGGGGTTCCCCAGTGCTGTCAAGTTGGTTTTGTTGTTATAACACAGTGTCAACCTGCATAGTAATGAAAGAACCATTGAGATCAGAAATAAAATGCAGATGTCTTCTAGGGATATTATTTCCCCATCTGTAGTCCCTTAATCCTGGTTTCTTGATATGCAGTTGAAAGCTTTCTTGTTACTTGGCAATACCATTTCCTGAACAGCCACTCCACTACTGCTTTGTTTACCTGCCAAGTGTTTCTGTTGGCATAATTGACTTATCAGTGTGCTGCCTTCCCACATTGTGGATTGCTTTCAGGAGAATAATCTGAGATCCAGGAGATGGATCTGAGCTAATATGCATCAGATCCACATTCACATTTTTTCCTCTAGACATGGAATGTGTGCTCAGTTGCTTGCCTTTTAAGTAAAGTTTGTCAGTTCTCATCAGACTTGTAGATTTCTCTTAAAAAAGAAAAAGAGGACTTGGGGCACCTTAGAGACTAACCAATTTATTTGAGCATAAGCTTTTGTGAGCTACAGCTCACTTCATCGGATGCATTCAGTGGAAAATACAGTGGGGAGATTTATATACACAGAGAACATAAAACAATGGGTGTTACCATACACACTGTAACGAGAGTGCTCAGGTAAGGTGAGATACTATCAGCAGGAGAGCGGGGAACGTCGGGGGAGGGGGTGGAACGTTCTCAGACCTTCTTGTCGACTGCTGGAAATGGCCCACCTTGATTATCACTACAAAAGTCCCGCCCCCCCCCCGCTGGTAATATCTGACCTTACCTGAGCACTTTCGTTACAGTGTGTATGGTAACACCCATTGTTTCATGTTCTCTGTGTATATAAATCTCCCCACTGTATTTTCCACTGAATGCATCCGATGAAGTGAGCTGTAGCTCACGAAAGCTTATGCTCAAATAAATTGGTTAGTCTCTAAGGTGCCACAAGTCCTCCTTTTCTTTTTGTGGATACAGACTAACACGGCTGCTACTCTGAAACCTGTAGATTTCTCTGTTTCAGCCTTTTGATATTGTGCAAATTGCTGTTCATTTGAGTAAGTTAAACACTCCATGTTCTGAAATCGTAGTACTGAGACATGGTGAAGTACCTTCATGGATGCATTTCATGAGTGGGTGAAGTGATACCTGGATATATTTTGTGAAGCTATTTATTTAGACATTTAGATCAGTGCCCACCACAAAAGCAACTGGGAGCCTTCTACAACTAAAAGCAGTCATTCCTAAGCTAACAACATATTAAACTGTAGGGTCTGATCATGCAAACTCTCACACTGAGTAATAATTGGGTCTACTAGTGAGTAGGGATTGCTTATACAAGTAAGGGTTTGCAGGACTGTGTCTCACATTCATAGACAGTACATTACAGCTAATTCCATCAATAGGTCCATGTAAAGATGTGTTTTTCCATGCATTCTGTATGTAAGTTCTATGAGACAGA